CTGTTTCACCCATGCTCCCTCTGTTTCACCCATGCTCCCTCTGTTTCACCCATGCTCCCTCTGTTTCACCCATGCTCCCTCTGTTTCACCCATGCTCCCTCTGTTTCACCCATGCTCCCTCTGTTTCACCCATGCTCCCTCTGTTTCACCCATGCTCCCTCTGTTTCACCCATGCTCCCTCTGTTTCACCCATGCTCCCTCTGTTTCACCCATGCTCCCTCTGTTTCACCCATGCTCCCTCTGTTTCACCCATGCTCCCTCTGTTTCACCCATGCTCCCTCTGTTTCACCCATGCTCCCTCTGTTTCACCCATGCTCCCTCTGTTTCACCCATGCTCCCTCTGTTTCACCCATGCTCCCTCTGTTTCACCCATGCTCCCTCTGTTTCACCCATGCTCCCTCTGTTTCACCCATGCTCCCTCTGTTTCACCCATGCTCCCTCTGTTTCACCCATGCTCCCTCTGTTTCACCCATGCTCCCTCTGTTTCACCCATGCTCCCTCTGTTTCACCCATGCTCCCTCTGTTTCACCCATGCTCCCTCTGTTTCACCCATGCTCCCTCTGTTTCACCCATGCTCCCTCTGTTTCACCCATGCTCCCTCTGTTTCACCCATGCTCCCTCTGTTTCACCCATGCTCCCTCTGTTTCACCCATGCTCCCTCTGTTTCACCCATGCTCCCTCTGTTTCACCCATGCTCCCTCTGTTTCACCCATGCTCCCTCTGTTTCACCCATGCTCCCTCTGTTTCACCCATGCTCCCTCTGTTTCACCCATGCTCCCTCTGTTTCACCCATGCTCCCTCTGTTTCACCCATGCTCCCTCTGTTTCACCCATGCTCCCTCTGTTTCACCCATGCTCCCTCTGTTTCACCCATGCTCCCTCTGTTTCACCCATGCTCCCTCTGTTTCACCCATGCTCCCTCTGTTTCACCCATGCTCCCTCTGTTTCACCCATGCTCCCTCTGTTTCACCCATGCTCCCTCTGTTTCACCCATGCTCCCTCTGTTTCACCCATGCTCCCTCTGTTTCACCCATGCTCCCTCTGTTTCACCCATGCTCCCTCTGTTTCACCCATGCTCCCTCTGTTTCACCCATGCTCCCTCTGTTTCACCCATGCTCCCTCTGTTTCACCCATGCTCCCTCTGTTTCACCCATGCTCCCTCTGTTTCACCCATGCTCCCTCTGTTTCACCCATGCTCCCTCTGTTTCACCCATGCTCCCTCTGTTTCACCCATGCTCCCTCTGTTTCACCCATGCTCCCTCTGTTTCACCCATGCTCCCTCTGTTTCACCCATGCTCCCTCTGTTTCACCCATGCTCCCTCTGTTTCACCCATGCTCCCTCTGTTTCACCCATGCTCCCTCTGTTTCACCCATGCTCCCTCTGTTTCACCCATGCTCCCTCTGTTTCACCCATGCTCCCTCTGTTTCACCCATGCTCCCTCTGTTTCACCCATGCTCCCTCTGTTTCACCCATGCTCCCTCTGTTTCACCCATGCTCCCTCTGTTTCACCCATGCTCCCTCTGTTTCACCCATGCTCCCTCTGTTTCACCCATGCTCCCTCTGTTTCACCCATGCTCCCTCTGTTTCACCCATGCTCCCTCTGTTTCACCCATGCTCCCTCTGTTTCACCCATGCTCCCTCTGTTTCACCCATGCTCCCTCTGTTTCACCCATGCTCCCTCTGTTTCACCCATGCTCCCTCTGTTTCACCCATGCTCCCTCTGTTTCACCCATGCTCCCTCTGTTTCACCCATGCTCCCTCTGTTTCACCCATGCTCCCTCTGTTTCACCCATGCTCCCTCTGTTTCACCCATGCTCCCTCTGTTTCACCCATGCTCCCTCTGTTTCACCCATGCTCCCTCTGTTTCACCCATGCTCCCTCTGTTTCACCCATGCTCCCTCTGTTTCACCCATGCTCCCTCTGTTTCACCCATGCTCCCTCTGTTTCACCCATGCTCCCTCTGTTTCACCCATGCTCCCTCTGTTTCACCCATGCTCCCTCTGTTTCACCCATGCTCCCTCTGTTTCACCCATGCTCCCTCTGTTTCACCCATGCTCCCTCTGTTTCACCCATGCTCCCTCTGTTTCACCCATGCTCCCTCTGTTTCACCCATGCTCCCTCTGTTTCACCCATGCTCCCTCTGTTTCACCCATGCTCCCTCTGTTTCACCCATGCTCCCTCTGTTTCACCCATGCTCCCTCTGTTTCACCCATGCTCCCTCTGTTTCACCCATGCTCCCTCTGTTTCACCCATGCTCCCTCTGTTTCACCCATGCTCCCTCTGTTTCACCCATGCTCCCTCTGTTTCACCCATGCTCCCTCTGTTTCACCCATGCTCCCTCTGTTTCACCCATGCTCCCTCTGTTTCACCCATGCTCCCTCTGTTTCACCCATGCTCCCTCTGTTTCACCCATGCTCCCTCTGTTTCACCCATGCTCCCTCTGTTTCACCCATGCTCCCTCTGTTTCACCCATGCTCCCTCTGTTTCACCCATGCTCCCTCTGTTTCACCCATGCTCCCTCTGTTTCACCCATGCTCCCTCTGTTTCACCCATGCTCCCTCTGTTTCACCCATGCTCCCTCTGTTTCACCCATGCTCCCTCTGTTTCACCCATGCTCCCTCTGTTTCACCCATGCTCCCTCTGTTTCACCCATGCTCCCTCTGTTTCACCCATGCTCCCTCTGTTTCACCCATGCTCCCTCTGTTTCACCCATGCTCCCTCTGTTTCACCCATGCTCCCTCTGTTTCACCCATGCTCCCTCTGTTTCACCCATGCTCCCTCTGTTTCACCCATGCTCCCTCTGTTTCACCCATGCTCCCTCTGTTTCACCCATGCTCCCTCTGTTTCACCCATGCTCCCTCTGTTTCACCCATGCTCCCTCTGTTTCACCCATGCTCCCTCTGTTTCACCCATGCTCCCTCTGTTTCACCCATGCTCCCTCTGTTTCACCCATGCTCCCTCTGTTTCACCCATGCTCCCTCTGTTTCACCCATGCTCCCTCTGTTTCACCCATGCTCCCTCTGTTTCACCCATGCTCCCTCTGTTTCACCCATGCTCCCTCTGTTTCACCCATGCTCCCTCTGTTTCACCCATGCTCCCTCTGTTTCACCCATGCTCCCTCTGTTTCACCCATGCTCCCTCTGTTTCACCCATGCTCCCTCTGTTTCACCCATGCTCCCTCTGTTTCACCCATGCTCCCTCTGTTTCACCCATGCTCCCTCTGTTTCACCCATGCTCCCTCTGTTTCACCCATGCTCCCTCTGTTTCACCCATGCTCCCTCTGTTTCACCCATGCTCCCTCTGTTTCACCCATGCTCCCTCTGTTTCACCCATGCTCCCTCTGTTTCACCCATGCTCCCTCTGTTTCACCCATGCTCCCTCTGTTTCACCCATGCTCCCTCTGTTTCACCCATGCTCCCTCTGTTTCACCCATGCTCCCTCTGTTTCACCCATGCTCCCTCTGTTTCACCCATGCTCCCTCTGTTTCACCCATGCTCCCTCTGTTTCACCCATGCTCCCTCTGTTTCACCCATGCTCCCTCTGTTTCACCCATGCTCCCTCTGTTTCACCCATGCTCCCTCTGTTTCACCCATGCTCCCTCTGTTTCACCCATGCTCCCTCTGTTTCACCCATGCTCCTCTCGTTCACCCATGCTCCCTGTTTCACCCATGCTCCCTCTGTTTCACCCCCAATGCAGTTACAGGTGCCCAGCACCAGATGTGGCTTTTACCACGGCCTGGTTTATTGCTTGTAGTGTAGCAGACAAAACCGGGAAGCAACATTACACACACACCCTCTAGCATTGTTCTTTTCTCGGTGAGTGATTCCCCTTGCTTTACAGATAAGGTAAGGGCGTATTCCTATGGCCTCTATCAAGAAACCTCCTATCAAGAATGCACATTTTGCCTGGTGAAAGTAGCGAGAGATTTTGGGTTTAGCAATTTCCAGTGTGGGCTTGATAAGAGGTTCTTGATAGGAGGATAGGAATACGCCCTAATGTATCCCTTGTTGTACTCCTCGGTATTGGTCATGTGTATGACTTCACTGAGGCTCATAATGCTGTATTATATATAAAAAAAGATCCAATGCATGGCATGGCACATACGGTACGTCGTGTTACTATCAGACAATCAGATGCAGAGCGGACCCGGGTCGGCGCCCCCGACTCAGCACAAAGACTCGCCCCCACTCCTCCACCTCGCGTCCACCCCATCTCTGAGGGCAGGGGATGGGATGGGATGGAGGGGAAGAGGCGGGATGATGGTGACGCGGGGAGGGGCACACAGCGCGGGTTTCCGCATCATTTACAGCAACAGCATCAAGGATGGGAGGTGAGGGATGGGGAGTTGAGGGATGGGGAGGTGAGGGATGGGGAAGAGAGGGATGGGGAGGTGAGGGGGGGAGGTGAGATGGGGAGGTGAGGGATGGGGAGGAGGGAGGGGAGGAGAGGGATGGGATGGGGAGGAGGGATGGGGAGGTGAGGGTGGGGAGGAGAGGGATGGGGAGGTGAGGGATGGGGAGGTGATGGAGGGGAGAGAGGGATGGGAAGATGAGGGATGGGGAGGTGAGGGATGGGGAGGAGAGGGATGGGGAGGAGAGGGATGGGGAGGTGATGGGATGGGGAAGAGAGGGATGGGAAGATGAGGGATGGGGAGGTGAGGGATGGGGAGGAGAGGGATGGGGAGGAGAGGGATGGGGGTATCCCTTGTTGTACTCCTCGGTATTGGTCATGTGTATGACTTCACTGAGGCTCATAATGCTGTATTATATATAAAAAAAGATCCAATGCATGGCATGGCACATACGGTACGTCGTGTTACTATCAGACAATCAGATGCAGAGCGGACCCGGTGTCGGCGCCCCCGACTCAGCACAAAGACTCGCCCCCACTCCTCCACCTCGCGTCCACCCCATCTCTGAGGGCAGGGGATGGGATGGGACGGGGAAGAGGCGGGGATGGTGACGCGGGGAGGGGCACACAGCGCGGGTTTCCGCATCATTTACAGCAACAGCATCAAGGATGGGGAGGTGAGGGATGGGGGAGGTGAGGGATGGGGAGGTGAGGGATGGGAAGAGAGGGATGGGGAGGTGAGGGTGGGGAGGTGAGGGATGGGGAGGTGAGGGATGGGGAGGAGAGGATGGGGAGGAGAAGGATGCGGAGGTGAGGGATGGGGGAGAGGGAGGGATGGGGAGGTGAGGGATGGGGAGGTGAGGGATGGGGAGGTGAGGGATGGGGAAGAGAGGGATGGGAAGATGAGGGATGGGGAGGTGAGGGATGGGGAGGAGAGGGATGGGGAGGAGAGGGATGGGGAGGTGCGGATGGGGAGGTGAGGATGGGGAGGTGAGGGATGGGGAGGAGAGGGATGGGGAGGAGAGGGATGGGAGGTGAGGGATGGGGAGGTGAGGGATGCGGTGGTGAGGGATGCGGAGGTGAGGGATGCGGCGGTGGTGAGGGATGCGGTGTGAGGGATGCGGAGGTGAGGGATGCGGTGGTGTGGGTGATGGCGCTTGCACCTGGAAATATTCCGCTGCCTTGTCGTACGCGGCATGCGCTGACACTTACTCCAGCCTGAGGGGAGAAAGGGTGGGATGATGAGAAGGAGAAAGGGTGGAGGGATGCGGAGAAAGGGTGGAGGATGCGGAGAAAGGTGGAGGGATGCGGAGAAAGGGTGGAGGGATGCGGAGAAAGGGTGGAGGGAGAAAGGTGGGGGATGCGGAGAAAGGGTGGAGGGATGCGGAGAAAGGGTGGAGGGATGCGGAGAAAGGGTGGAGGGATGCGGAGAAAGGGTGGAGGGATGCGGAGAAAGGGTGGAGGGATGCGGAGAAAGGGTGGAGGGATGGGGAAAGGGGGATGCGGAGAAAGGGTGGAGGGATGCGGAGAAGGGTGGAGGGATGCGGAGAAAGGGAGAAAGGGTGGAGGGATGCGGAGAAAGGGTGGAGGGATGCGGAGAAAGGGTGGAGGGATGCGGAGAAAGGGTGGAGGGATGCGGAGAAAGGGTGGAGGGATGCGGAGAAAGGGTGGAGGGATGCGGAGAAAGGGTGGAGGGATGCGGAGAAAGGGTGGAGGGATGCGGAGAAAGGGTGGAGGGATGCGGAGAAAGGGTGGAGGGATGCGGAGAAAGGGTGGAGGGATGCGGAGAAAGGGTGGAGGGATGCGGAGAAAGGGTGGAGGGATGCGGAGAAAGGGTGGAGGGATGCGGAGAAAGGGTGGAGGGATGCGGAGAAAGGGTGGAGGGATGCGGAGAAAGGGTGGAGGGATGCGGAGAAAGGGTGGAGGGATGCGGAGAAAGGGTGGAGGGATGCGGAGAAAGGGTGGAGGGATGCGGAGAAAGGGTGGAGGGATGCGGAGAAAGGGTGGAGGGATGCGGAGAAAGGGTGGAGGGATGCGGAGAAAGGGTGGAGGGATGCGGAGAAAGGGTGGAGGGATGCGGAGAAAGGGTGGAGGGATGCGGAGAAAGGGTGGAGGGATGCGGAGAAAGGGTGGAGGGATGCGGAGAAAGGGTGGAGGGATGCGGAGAAAGGGTGGAGGTTGGGGTGTGTCGTTGTGTGTGTGACAACAGGGGAGAGAGCGTGGGCGGCGGAAGGGGAGTGAGCTTTAGCGACTGGAGAGAGTGAGCGAAGGCGACGGGAGGGGGGTGAGCATGGACGACGGAAGGGAGTGAGTGTGCGACGTATGGGCAGTGAGCGTGGGCGACGGATGGGAGAGAGCGTGCGAGACGGGGAGGAGTGAGCGTGGGCGACGAGAGGGAGTGGGCGTGGGCGACGGATGGGAGTGAGCATGTGTGATGGATGGGACCGTCGCGGCGGGAGGAAGTGACCGTGGGCGGCGGAAGGGGAGTCGTCGAGCGCGCCGGGAGGGAGTGCGCGTGGACGGCGGAAGGAGATTGAAAGGGAAGCGCGGGCGGCAGCGTGCAACGAGCGGGGTTGAGCGTGTGCGTCGATAGGATTGCGCGAAGGCGATGGAAAGGGAGTGAGCGCGGGCGACGGAAGTGACTGAGTGTGGGCGACGGAACGATTGCGCGAAGGGCATGGGAAGGGAATGAGCGTGGGCGACGGGAAGGTCTTGCGCGTGGGCAATGGAAGGAGTGCGCGTGGGCGGTGGGAGCGGAGTGCGCGTGGGTGGCGGGAACGGAGTGCGCGTGGGTGGCGGGAACGGAGTGCGCGTGGGTGGCAGGAACGGAGTGCGTGTGGGCGAGGGAAGGGAGTGTACGTGTTCGGTCTCAGGAAGTGCGCGTGGGCGACGGGAAGGAATTTGTACTCCGCGACGGAGGGAGGCGAGCGTGCGCGACAATGGGGATTGCGCGAATGAGTCGGGAGGGAAGGGAGCGTGATCGTGAGCGAGGAAGCGTGATCGATGATGGAGGGGAGTGCGTGTGTGGGACGGAAGGGAACCGAGTGTGGACGACGGGGAGAAGACGCAAATGCGACGAAGTAGTTGGAGTAATACGGTAGTCCTAACGAGTAAGGCGAAAATAAGATACCTGGGGCTGGAATGGGATTGGAGCCTAGCTGTTCTAAGCTATGGCTGCAGCTCTAGCTGCTCAGACTAAGCAGTTTCGAACAACCTGAATTACAGATTTCCAGCTTTAACACCAGCATCAATACTGTAGGTCTTCCCATGAGCTCACGCGTGTATCAGCAGAAACATATTGGCCTTTCAAATGGCTTCCTCCTCTCACTCCTCCCCTCCTGCACTGCTGCAGCATAGGCAGCAACGAGTCGTTTTCCTTTGAGTACGAGATCAGTCGTGAGCTGCACATCCGCACCGACACCTTCGACCCCTTCATTCCCCCCGAGGCGCAGGCGCGCATGAAGGCGCTGCCCTTCCTGCGCTTCCACAGCATTGGCGTCGCCAGTTCTGCGGATATCAACGAGTACAAGAAGTGGTACCCCAAGGTGCGATGTGGTACCCCCAAGGTGCGATGAGGTACCCCCAAGGTGCGATGTGGTACCCCAAGTCATGGTACCGCAAGGCATAGTCGAGGTACAGAGAATGGTATATCCTAAGAAGGTAGAGTTGAGACATCTCAGGTGAAGGCAAGGGCGGCTTAGGCCACTCGTGCCCGGACCCAGGAGGGTCCTCTCTCCCTCCACCCACATTTGCATATTGATCACAGGGCAGGCTGTGACGGGTGAAAAGCCTCTCTCCTGGTGTGCCTCCAAGGTCGGCGGGTGCGAGGGGTGGGAGGAGTACTTGGGAGGGTTCTGGGTGTCTGCAAGCTCACTGACCTCTCTCTTGTCCCCCATTGCTCCCCCTGCTCCTCTGCTACCCCTGCTGCGGTCACCCCTGACGTGCATGGCCACGGGCGCGGGTAGCAGAAGAAGTTCATGCGGCTGGGCGAGATCATGAGGCGGCTGGGGCACTCGTACATCGACGTGCTCAAGGTGGACTGCGAGGGCTGCGAGGAGCACTTCATACAGGAGCTGGTGAACGCCAACCACCACAAGATGGGCGCCCTCACCCTCCATGGCGGCCGCCTGCCGTTCGGACAGCTGCTGTGTGAATTCCACAGGTGGGGTTGATGTGTGCATGGCGGTAGAATGCTTCATGCATGCATGCTGTTGGCGTACACGTGGGACTAGTGGCGAGAGAGGCCTGCAGGCATGGATGCATCCACACACAAGCGTGTGTGCGCACACATATACACACACACACAAACACACACACACACACACACACACACACACGCGCGCGCGCGCGCGCGCACACACACACATACACACACACACACACACACACACATTCCCTCACTACCGTACACACACTTCGACACGCATAAATACACACAGTCATGCACGTACCCATATGCATACGTGCTCTTGTGAGCTCTTTCACAATATCATTGAATCCATTCTCAGTTGCCATGTTCAGTCGCACCCCTCCCCTCCCCTTCAACCTTGTTCATAACCCCATACTCCCTATAGTACATCATTCTCAGCCAATCAACTTACTATCCAATCCCCATGCATCATGGATACATCGAACTGCATTCTCCCCCAAAAACTTGTGTGGTAGACGTTCCACACAATCCCGAACCTTCAACTACCCTCTACAAGTGTGGCAGACAAACAACCCCCAACCCAACCCACGTTTCTTTTCCCGTGTGGCGCACAGGACGGACATGCCGAACCGCACGCTGCCCTTGGTGTACGGGATGGAGAGCCTGGGGTACCGCATGTTCCACGTGGAGCCCAACGCGCAGTGCCTGCACTGCCAGGAGATCGCCTTCATCCACGAGACCCTCGTCAAGCCCACCGCCGACTGCCGCCCCTTCCTGCAGCAGGGCAGCAACGGGCTGGCGCAGTTGCTTGGTGTAGGAGGCAAGGCGCAAGCTGCGGGTGACAAAGGCGAAGAAGCTGCCGCTGGTAACGGCTCACTTGATTCGCCGTAAAACCCTTTGCAGCAAAACAAGGTGTCGAGTTGCTTAGGGTGTTATGGGAATGTTTAAGAATATCTGTGCCGGAGATGCGGGTCACGATGTAAAAGTGCCTGCCGGGTGGGTGGATCAAACCTTCTAGGCAATTGCCTTTACTGTATTGTATCGTGTATTTATTTTGTTTATCTGCTTGATGTATGCATTGCTTGTTGTGGTACGTCATACGGTATGTTATGAATGAACTTGTCAGAGTGCGCAGATATCGAATAACGAGAATGTTGAACTACCGAATGCCTGAACAATGAAGTAGCGAGGCCTAAATAGGGGAAAACCTAGCTAGGCGGGGATGGTGTGGTAGAGTTGGCTCGCGAAGTGTCGCGATTGGTGCGGAGGCGGCTCGGTGAGGTTGGGATGCGAAATTGTAGGCCGAACCAGTTGGTCGCGTGGCCCTCGGGATGGCCTCGCTATCGAGCGCCTCAGTAAGGATTTGTAAATCCTTACACTCTCCCACCTCCTAAATAAGGCAGCCCTGTACTGAAAAGGGTCACCCAGTAGCGAGGATGCCGTTGATCTTCACTTCAGCTGAATCCGACGGCTGAAATGCCCCAGACAATATTGTTGAAAAGGTTGGAATGTCGGCCGTTGATGTTGTCAGATTTCGATCTGACGGTCGAAGATGAAGTGACCTCAATTGTAATGAAAGTTGGATTGTGAGCCGTAGATGCATATGCTGTAGATCCGACGGTCGAAGCAGATGCGAAAAGGGAGGGAACCTGCTGACGCGAATTCAAACGCAATTGAGCAGGAACCGTAGATCGTGTCGGTGTGATCGCGGTCGTCCGTCGTGCTGTCGCAACCTGACAAAGTCAGAAAAGGACCAAGAAAACGCCAAGGAAAGAACAGTGCGAAGCACTTTCTCCCCCACTCCAAGAAAACACACCATAAAAGTTCCAGCAGCTGCGCCGAGATGAAAACAAACAAAACCGGGTGTTAAGTCCCACGAAGGAAGCCGTTGATGGAAGGAACCCAAGTGAAAATGCGTCGGTGTGGAAATGTCGATGTCGAAACCAGGAATTACGTGCCCAAAAGTCGTCAAGGGCGAACCAGCGAAAGTAGACCAGAAACCGAAACCGAAATTGCAGAGCACTCGAACTGAAGCTTTTTGTCTTCACATCGCCAGAATCATGCAGCATCCGCAGCAGTTGCAGCTGGCAGCACCTGACGTGGCTGAAATTAAATATGTTTGTCGTGGGCGGGTCGATGGCGAGTTGTTGGAAGCAGAGTTGGGATGGATTCTCCAAGAATTTTGTCGTAATCCGCCGAGAGTTCGTGGGCAGGGATGAAAATTTGCAGCTGTCTCTCCCCCCCCGTCACTGTTGCCGCCGCCTTCTCCAGTTCGTCGTAAGTCGTTCGTACCCCTTGAAAAGTCCGTGTAGTTCCCGCGCCGTTGCCCTGCGTAAATTTCGCGCGCGTGTAACCAAACTTCGAAAGTACTGCCACAAAATTGCCGCGCTTTCGCCGTAAAACCGTGAAGTCCTTCGTCAAACTCCGAAATCGTCGCTCGAGAAGTAGCCCCGTAAATCCACAGGTCTAGGTGCAGTTCTCCTCCGAAAATCTCAGACGTGCTATAGCCGCCCACCCGGTCACCATCAGTTTCCTTCGGTTACCCGACCCCAGCATGTGGGTTAAATCGAGAACCGGGGACTGCCCTGGGTCTTCCGAGACCGAATTTCACGGAACCTAGAGGCATCAACGCCGTTGACCCCGTCGTCGAAACTGCTCCCGTCGATGTCGCTTAACTGAAAACCACGCAAACTCCCACTGGCGCTTTGCGATGTTTCACCTCATCGCGCGTCACCGGCAGGTAAATCCCGAAGCCTCGGCTGCTCCCACGCTCCCTGAAGAATTTCCCGCGGTGTACGTTTAAACACCCGTGGGTCCTAGGTATCAACCGCACTCCAAGAAACGAAGAAAACACCCTCAGCTTCAACTCCTTTTTTTTTTCGTAGGAAGATAACCCCGAAAATCGTGGTTGAGGCTGCAGTCCCGAAGTTATTCTCCGCCGTATAGCCCCGACGTTTCCGCCGTTTTTTCCCTGGTACTCCGATGTTCACCCATCTTCGTACCCGCCGGACTACTTAGCGAATCCCAGATAAATCCTTGGCAATGTACCGCTCGCCGCGCCTCCATGTAACGATATCAAACCCTTTCGGGGGTCTACCGAATAGACTCCGAAATTCGCGGTAGATTGGTGCACGGGCTCAACCTATCACTCAAGTGATCTGCTGGATCACCCACAACTTTCCCTTCCGTCATCAATTTTTTCGTATTCACCCCCCGACAATTCCGCTTCCCGCCGTTCACCCAGCGTCCGCTTTTGTCGGATGGGGTATCGTCGTTGTTGCCCACGCGAACTCGGCCACGGTGGAGAGGCAAAAACTATCGGAGTCGGGGCAGCCTTAGTTAAAAGGAAACTGTCGCCCAACCGTTTTGCAGCCCGCCGTGCCTATCACGTCACGTAAAATCCACAGCTTCCCGGTCTCAGCTTCGCCGCCGCGCCGTCGATTCGTGTAGACGCCCGGGTCAGGAGAAACCAGTAGACTGCACCATTTCTTCTTCGCAGCTCCCCGACTTTTTCGCGTGCCGTTCACCCAGCCCGCTTTTGTCGGAGTAGAACAGTGCCGCGAGCTCCACTTTTTTTTTTGTATTTTTTCTGTACAGCTGTCGAACGGGCACCAAACCCGGTACCTTTAACCAGCGCAGGGTAGGCCACGTGTTCACCCCCGTTATTCGGCCAAGTAGGTTGACTGCATGAGTCAGAACCAGGACTTGGTGGGGATGGTGAGGTTCGGGCGAAGTAGGGCCGCAGAGCGATTCCACCGGCTTTTAATCTGCCCCCGCAACGTTCTTCAACCCCCGCTTAGCCGTTGGGCCGTTTCTTCTCGCGTGTCCCGGCAGCCTGTACCGACCCCTCCGAAATTATCGGGCGGTACCTTGGACACCGTTTAACCGTGGGTTGTCAGCAGCTGTCCCCGAAAACAACATCCTTGGTCAGGGGAAACTGTTCTCGATACTGCCGGCCAGCTTGCAACAACACCAGGCACGCAGCGTCGCACGAGTTCTTTCGAGGTGTACCTGCCCCGATTTCCCTCGTCGCCTGCGTCCCACTCCTCGTAAGTGCGGTTTAGCCATCGCGTTTTCCGTTGCAGCCCGTAAGCGTCAGCAGGTATGAAGTCCCGTCTGTCCACGAGCACTCCTGCCGAATTTGTTGATGACGCGCCCGCCAATGCAGTAAAAGCTGCCGCACTTAACAGGTCGGGCGGGACGGCAGTTAACTCCCGCGAAGTCGGGCAGTCTTGTGTCGTCTCTCCTCGCCACCGACATTTTCGGACGCAAACTCCTTTTGCGCCTGGCGAGTTCCCCAGCCGACGTTTTTCCTTGTCGCCAGCTGCCGAGCCACACTCCGTGAGTCGCGCGCGCATGATGACGACGAGCCACCGTTGTCTTCTGCCGCATGGGACGGACTCCGAAGTTGTCGCAGCAGTTGTTGACTCGGGTCCGACGGCGTCAACTGCCACACATCGTGACGACTTCCGAAATCTTCGTGCAGGTGCCGACGCAGATCCGCTGACGCCAGCTGCCTCACAGTTTCGAAATCGTCGTTAAAACCGCAGCGGAAATAGTAACTCACGTTCAGAGTCGCGACAGCTCCAGCTGTCCGTTGCCCGGGGGGAGGGAGGCCACGGTCGATCGCGACCGTTCGAGCTAAGGATCTGGCGGTGCCGAAGGAGTGCCCCGTAAAACCATGGCCGCGAAGAGCAACTAACGAGTTCTCTTGGCCGGCCTACGCAACTCCTGGACCCCAAGGCATCCTTACTCGTCCCCCCCCCGAGGGGTAATACACTCTAAAAAACGGGGTAGGCTAGGAAAGTAGCTCTGATACCAGGTGTTATGAATGAACTTGTCAGAGTGCGCAGATATCGAATAACGAGAATGTTGAACTACCGAATGCCTGAACAATGAAGTAGCGAGGCCTAAATAGGGGAAAACCTAGCTAGGCGGGGATGGTGTGGTAGAGTTGGCTCGCGAAGTGTCGCGATTGGTGCGGAGGCGGCTCGGTGAGGTTGGGATGCGAAATTGTAGGCCAAACGAGTTGGTCGCGTGGCCCTCGGGATGGCCTCGCTATCGAGCGCCTCAGTAAGGATTTGTAAATCCTTACACGGTAGTTAATTTGGTCGGTCCCATACAATGCCCCTTACAGCTCAAATGCTTCCCTGCTTAGGCCCGGACCGGAAGGAGTAGTACATATACTTCAAAATCAGCACTAATTGTTTGATGTTTTCCGCAATCGAATGGTTTGCATATTATCACTTCACACAAACTGCATTCTCCCGGATATTAGACCCGGGGTGTTATGAATGAACCTGCAGAGTGCCTGCAGAGTGCGCAGTAAAACGAATAACGAGAATGTTGACTACTGAATGACGATACAATGAGAATGGCACGACTAAATAGGGGAAATGCTAGCTAGGCGGGGGGGAGGTCAGGCGAAGATGGCTGGTGCGGAGCCGACTCTGAATGGTTCGGTGCGACGAAATAGGCCGAACAGGTTCGTCGCGTGACCCTCGGGATGGCCTCGCAAGCGAGTGCCTTAGTAAGGCTGTGTAAAACCTTACCCTTCTAAATAAGGCAACTCTGTATTGAAACAAGTCCCACATGGCTGATTTTTGTTTTAAGCTGTTGGGCTGAGAAAAGCCCTTAGGATCTTTGCAGGACTAAACTCTTGGTAGGAATGATGTAATAGCGGAAGCGTTTAATTGAAGTCTTTCAACCACCTTGCGCTGGTATGTGAGGGCAAAGTAGATTGATTAAAGCAACAAGATTTTATAAGAGTACAAGGAATATGAAAAGATACAACTAATAACTGTTTTAGTTGCTGTTGCGGTTCGATACAGTGACGACTCGAGCAACTGCTCTGTAGCGAGTCAGTTGTTTGTCCTTGCTGTCGCGCTGTA